TTTTAATAACTACACTGTCTGGCTAGAAAGTAGGTGTTGTTGAGTCATATTAATGTATTTAATATGCTTCAAGCTGTCTAAATTATTATTCTTTTAACCGGTACACTAGCTCGTGGTTTTATGGTATAGGCGGGATAGAAATATTTTTATAATAATATTGACAATGATGTATATTGTTTGTCTTACTAGGAATTCCTCCTGACCAACAGCGTCTGATTTTTGCTGGCAAACAGTTGGAAGATGGACGAACTCTGTCTGATTATAACATTCAAAAGGTATTTCTTCTAATACATACATGGTGTGATGACCCTTAACTTGTACTAATCCATACAGTAATCCTGATCCATCAGAATGACTTTGGGCAGTCAAGAAACGTTGGTCTTTTAAATCAGGTGGGGAATTGATCGTGGGTTTCTCCTGGATGCAAAATGGAATGAAAAGATGCTCTTTTTTCCTTGCACCCAGCCTTCATTTTGTCAAAAAGCACAACTAAGTAAATGCAAACTGGAGTTGTGTGACATAAACATGGCAAAACAGTGAAACTATTGCTGCCCTCGATATCAGAAGATTTTATTTGTATCCCACCTTTCTCCCAATATGGGATTCAAAACAGGCTTGCAATTTAATTTGTATTATATAACCTGAAACACTATTAAAATAATTCAAATGAGGCAATAAATACAATTATTATTATGTCTTACTCCTGCTTTGAACAGGCAGGATTATTTTAAATATATATGTGCTAGTGTGATTTTTTTATGCTTATATTGTCTTGTTAATTTTATGTTTATGTTTTTTACTTTGTATGTATTGATGATGTTACTTGAAAACTGCTGTGAGTTCCCTCGGGGAGATAGAGCGGTATATAAATGAAGTTTTGTTGTTGTTGCTCCCTTGCATCCATTTTGCATCCAGTAAAACAAGCTAACTCTGCCAGCCTGAAAACCGAACTCTTTTATTTACAGCATCCATATTTACTTTGGTGATTGGGTTTGTTACCATTCCTTGGAGAGCACAATTTTCCTCTCCTTGAGAGTGGGTTGGGGTGAATGACTTGGTCAAGACCATTCACTGAACTGGATGGATAATACTGTGAGTTTTCTGCATCGGGCCCAGCCTTCGCTGCTTCTTCTCACAAATTATGCTTCCTGTAAACAGGAGTCTACCCTCCACCTTGTGCTGAGGCTTCGTGGTGGAGCAAAGAAGAGGAAGAAGAAGTCCTACACCACCCCTAAGAAGAACAAGCACAAGAGGAAGAAGGTGACGCTGGCTGTCCTTAAATACTACAAGGTAGGAGCAACTTTGGTGCAAGAAGGTTTTGAATTTGCTTTTGAAAAGCAATCTCTTGTGTTTAGAAAGTAACTCATTGCTACTACATATTAGGATCAGGCATGGGCAAACTTGGGCCCTCCAGGTGTTTTGGACTTCAACTCCCACAATTCCTAACAGCCTGGAGGGCTGAAGTTTGCCCATAACTGTTAGGTGATGCAGATAAGCAACTCTCTGTGTAAACATCTCTAAAAACGAGTTTTATCTTAGAAGCGCAAGTGTATCTTGCGTATTTTTGGTAATGGTGGCTGTGCTGATATTAGGGTGCAGCTTACAATGGATAGCTTCTTACAGCTAAAGAAATATGGTATAAAATTCCCTTTCAATTAACTTTTGAAAGGTGAAGCCATTACTCTGATGTGTTACAATTTTAAATGGTGCTTTCTTCCAGGTAAGGGTTCCCAGCATTATCTTACATCAGCTAATTAAGTCTCCATAGAATTATAGAATTGGAGGAGACCTCATGGGCCATCCAGTCCAACCCTCTGCCAAGAAGCAGGGAAACCGCATTCAAAGCACCCCCGAGAGATGGCCATCTAGCCTCTGCTTAAAAGCCTCCAAAGAAGGAGCCTCCACCATACTCCGGGGCAGAGAGAGAGTCCCACTGCTGAACAACTCTCACAGTCAGGAAGTTCTTCCTAATGTTCAGGTGGAATCTCCTTTCCTGTAGTTTGGCCATTGTTACGCGTCCTCCAGGGCAGCTGAAAACAAGCTTGCTCCCTCCTCCCTATGACTTCCTCTCACATTTACCTAATTAGGTATCTAGAAAATGGCAGTGGTGTCCAGGCTTGGCACTGGAGCTTTCCCTTCTTTTCAGAATTACCCTTTTATTTATGTATGGGTCATATCAAAATACATAATTTTGGTCTTAAAACCAGTCCTCGACTTAATACATAACTATATAGAGTAAGTTATGAATGTGGACAAAATGTTAAATTTATGGAGAAATGCTTGACAAGATTAACTGAAATCAATATATAGATTACAAATCTGTGTAACTGTGATATTGAATATGAGCCATTTTAAATTTGTCAGCTCTGGATTTGAGTTAGCAGTGATACTGTGTGCCTCCAAAGACTGCAAATTCTCAGTAGCTCTGGATTTGTTTGTCTTTTTTTTTTACTGCATTTAACTGGAAAGCAAAGATTTGTTTGAGGCAAATTAATTTATGGATTCAACTGCAAGGATATAGTCATGTAAATTGTGTATTTGGGTAACCAATACATAGTTCCTGGCAGTTAATGCCTCGAACATCACTGGGATTCAATTTTTTTTCAGCTGTGGATCGTCAGCCTTGGGAGAAGGCTGGGCTGCTCTTTAAATGTACCACTTATGGGCACAGTGGCTTCATGCATGAAGGTTTTCTGGGTTGAGGTGTCCAGCATTATTTATGTGCTTTTTGCTTTCACAGGTGGATGAAAATGGGAAAATCAGCCGGCTGCGGCGGGAGTGCCCTTCGGAAGAGTGTGGGGCGGGAGTCTTCATGGCCAGCCACTTCGACAGGCATTACTGTGGCAAGTGCTGCCTGACATACTGCTTCAACAAACCAGAGGACAAATAAAATGTGTCTTTTGTTATAATAAACACATTTAAACTGCACAATTTCTGTTTCACTGCATATGTTAGTAAAGGCGGAGCCCTAAAATTATAGAGTACCTTTCAGAGAGAGGGCCAAGTGTATCACATATTGATAAGTGGAAGAATCTGTCCTCATACGGAATAAAACTACAAATTACAGAGACAATCTTTGTTCTCTTACATTTTGTAGACTGTCCATTAACAACGTAAAAAAATGCTGTCCATACAACAGCAGAGTGTTTTAAATATTCGTTATAGTGTTCACATGGTTGCTTTAAACCAGTGGTTCTCAAACTGTGGGTCCCAGATGTTTTGGCCTTCAACTTCCAGAAATCCTAACAGCTTGTAAAACTGGCTGGGATTTCTGAGAAGCTGGGGATCCACAGGTTGCGACTCACTGTTCTAAAGAGATCGCAGAAATAAGAGTATTGCTGTGTTGATGCTGGCCTTAAAAGTTCCAAACTGAAAAACTGTTCTGTGGTTGTGGTGGTCCTTCTGCTTGTATTTTTTTCACAAATGATTCTGTCCAGTCATAGTAAGAACAAATAGTCATGAAAGGGGCTGATGAGCTTTTGTTGCCACCATTGGAAATCCCCTTTCTTACTTAGGCAATCCCTCGTAGCTCGAGGATGATGGTCCTCCAAGTGATGTGTCTTGGTGGTGGGTCCATAGGCAGCTGTGGAGCCCTATTCTTGATCCACATGTTGTCCCACAGTGAGGTCATCAGTTTCCAAGTGGAAGGAGGTCCTGGTCAGAGTTGGCTTGAAGCGCCTTCCTCTTGGCATGTTTCTCCCTCCATTCATGCCTCTTCGAATCCTGCAGCATTGCTGGTCACAGCTGACTTCCAGTGCAAGCACTCAAGGGCTAGGGCTTCCCAGTTCTCGTTATCTATGCCACAGTTTTTGAGGTTGGCTTTAAGCCCATCTTTAAATCTCTTTTTCTGTCTACCAACATTATGTTTCTCATTCTTGAATTGGGAGTAGAGTAATTGATTTGGGAGATGGTGATTGGACATTAGAACAATGTGGCCAGGCCAGCGGAGTTGATGGCCGAGGAGCATCGCTTCGATGCTGGTGGTCTTTGCTTCTTCCAGCACACTAACATTTGTCTGCCTGTCTTCCCAAGAGATTTGCAGCATTTTTCGGAGGCAACGCTGAAAACATGCAAGTGTTAGTAGAGCAGTAGGTACCGCTTCTATGGGGAAGTAATGGTGCTGCATACAGTCATGCTGGCCACATGATTTTGGAGGTGTCTATGGACAATGTCAGCTCTTTGGCTCCACACACACATACCCCGAGTTGGGCACGACTAGACTTAATGTCAAGGGGAAACCTTTACCTATTTAGGACTAGTTTAGTGAAAACCAGTGTAATGATTTGTGTGTTGGGCTATGGCTTGGAAGATCAGGGTTCAAATCTTCTCGGCCCGTGGAAATCCATTGGAGAATTCACAATCTTTTAACCTCAGAGGATGGCAAAGGCAAATTCACTCTAAATAAATCTTGCCAAGAAAACCCAATGATAAGGTCTGCATAAACTGGAAATGATTTGAAGGGACATAACAATTTGGTAGTAAAGTGAAAACATGGGACAGAATGGCTGTTAAGTCTGTTACTCCATTTTTCCTTGCAGACACAGCTTTATAAAAGTGAGAAAATTAATTAGCCCCAACCGCAAGAACCTGCGGAGCCAAATATACAACCTGTGATGGGGATTATATCTATAAATCTTCTAAATCTGTGGAGGAGATTTTGTGAATGTCTCAAATGGTTTTACACAGAAATCAGAACTTTGGGACAGTCTTGATGATCGATTGTCTGTTTAATTTGTTAACCAGGCTGATAAGCTCACCAAAATGTGTCTCTAGTGTCTGCCTGATTGTAAACACAATTTTGTTTTAATTACTTTGTACTTCTAACAAAGTACACAGAGTCTGTGCTAGCACAAAGCATCATTTCATCTCCTCTGATGACAAACCTTGCATCTTATATGGCAGGCACGGGTGAACTTGGGCCCTCCAAGTGTTTTGGACTTCAACTCCCACCATTCCTAACAGCCTCAGGCCCTTTCCTTTTCCCCCTCAGGAAAAGGAAGGGGCTTGAGGCTGTTAGGAATGGTGGGAGTTGAAGTCCAAAACACCTGGAGGGCCCAAGTTTGCCCATGCCTGTTCTATGGCATTGTTTACCATAGAGTTTGCAAAAAATGCAATATACTTTAGTGCAGTCTGGCATGTTGACCATAATCCACGTGGCTCGGTCCATCATTCCGAAACTTCGCTTATGATTTAAAATCCTGGGTCCCAAGAAATCTTCTGCTCAACTTCCTTCTCCTCGAAACAAACGATTTCATCTCCAACCTCAAACTGGATGTTCTTTTCAAAATTCAGTCCACAATCCATGCCAGTCTTGACCACAGAGATGTCGTCCTTGTGGTGTTTCAGTGACGACAAGGGCCCTAGGCAAAACAGATAATAAAGAAGCAAGAATGGAAGAGTGGAGAATTCAACAATTTAAACAGAGGCTGGATGGCCGTCTGTCAGGGGTGATTTGAATGCAATATTCCTGCTTCTTGGCAGTGGGTTGGACTGGATGGCCCATGAGGTCTCTTCCAACTCTTTGATTCTATATCTACATATCTATATATCTTCTATCTATATATACCGAATAAAATTGAAAATATGTATGCATGTGGCTGGGGTGTCCACTTCCACAGATACGCTCCTGCTTCCACAAACAGCTTTAACCCACAGAGCTGTCTATGAATGTCTTCCTGCATTCCCAGCTATACTGCACCTCTTTTTCAAAGCCAAATCCAATCTAAACATTCCATATCGAGAAACTGCCAGTCAATCCGCTCACAACATACCTCTATAAGATAGAAGGCCTTCGCAACATTGCCCACCCCCTACAATATAGCCAAGAAATTGTACAATTAATAAATAAATAGTACATTAACAAAATGCCATACAAGCAATTTGGTGGTTCCATAACTAGAATGCAAGGGCATGAGCAAACATCTTAGATACTGTCGAAGGCTTTCATGGCTGGAATCACTAGGTTCTTGTGGGGTTTTTTGGGCTATAGAGCCATGTTCTAGAGGCATTTCTCCTGACGTTTCGCCTGCATCTATGGCAAGCATCCTCAGAGGTAGTGAGGTCTGTTGGAATTAGGACACAGGCTCAGGCAGGCCTTCAAATGCTAATGAAGGTGATCAGTTGAAACATTCACACCTAGCTCCAGCAGGGAAGAGCTCATTGCCCCACCCCAGCCATTCCACAGATATATAAACCCATTGTCCTAATGCCAACAGACCTCACTACCTCTGAGGATGCTTGCCATAGATGCAGGCAAAACGTCAGGAGAAATGCCTCTAGAACATGGCTCTATAGCCCGAAAAAACCCACAAGATATTAGATACTTTTAAGAGCTGAGTGATTCTGATTCAAAGGAAAAAACAATCAAATCTTTTTCTGAGAATTAAGCAATTCTAATTACAGGATGGGATGAAATTATACAGCACAGAGTTGTCCAAATCTTTGTGACCTTTTCAGCTGGCAAACGGAGCATGTCAGGCATGGGCAAAGTTCGGCCCTCCAGGTGTTTTGCACTTCAGCTCCCACAATTCCTAACAGGAATGTTAGGAAGCATACGAGAAGCTCGGCCTGTCATTAAACATCGAGAAAACCAAAGTGCTCTTCCAGCACTCACCAGCCAATCCCTCTCCAAAACCAGAAATACAGCTTAATGGTGTAACATTAGAAAATGTTGATCATTTCTGCTACCTTGGCAGCCACCTCTCCACAAAACTCAACATTGACACTGAAATACAACACCGCCTGAGCTCTGCAAGTACAGCATTCTTCCGAATGAAGCAGAGCGTGTTTGAGGACCAGGACATCCGTAGGGGTACCAAGGTGCTTGTTTATAAAGCTATTGTCCTCCCAACCCTGCTATACGCCTGCGGGACGTGGACTGTCTACAGATGTCACACTCAACTCCTAGAAAATCCTGCAAATCTCTTGGGAAGACAAGCGGGTAAATGTCAATGTGCTGGAAGAAGCAAAGACCACCAGCATTGAAGCGATGGTCCTCCGCCATCGACTCCGCTGGACCGGCCATGTTGTCTGGATGCCTGACCACCATCTTCCAAAGTAGTTGCTCTACTCCGAACTCAAGAACAGAAAATGGAATGTTGGTGGACAGGAAAAGAGATTTAAAGATGGGCTCAAAGCCTGTCGGGTTTTACAATGCATTGTAATGTAATATAGCTGAGTCATGCACTGCTAATGGGCTTCTATTGGAAATGCTGAGTCATGCATTAACTGTATATAGAGAATCATTTGGGGAATGTGTTCTGGCCTAGTCCAGGTGATTGTGAATGATGTAATCCTGGGTCTGAGTTAAGTCAATGAGTTGGGAACCAATCAGAGATTGCTATGTGTAATTGTATAGAATTGTATATAAGGAAGTCATGTACAGTGTATATCTCTCCTTGTGCTGTGATGTTGTTCGTCGAAGGCTATATGTAATTAAAAGAACCTGTCTGCTAAGACAAGATATAACTGTGCTGTGGTAAGTTTGTAATATCATCTAGACTGGGGGAAAGACAATGGTAAAACTGACAATGGCCGGGCATGTGCTCAAGTGTCTGTAAAAGAGTTCCAGAGTGACTGCAGTTTGTGGGAGCAGTTGACTGAAAATACTGTGCAGGAAGAAGCTACTGGAAAGCGCTGAAGTTGTGCAACTGATCTGCTGCTGAATTGTGAAATTAATCTCAATGGTCCTCCGCCATCAACTCCGCTGGACTGGCCACGTTGTCCAGATACCGGACCACCGTCTCCCAAAGTAGTTGCTCTACTACGAACTCAGGAACAGAAAATGGAATGTCGGTGGGCAGGAAAAGATATTTAAAGATGGGCTCAAAGCCAACCTTAAAAACTCTGGCATAGACATTGAGAACTGGGAAGCCCTGGCCCTTGAACGGTTCAGCTGGAGGTCAGCTGTGACCAGCAGTGCTGTAGAATTTGAAGAGGCATGAATGGAGGGCGAAAGGTAGAAACGTGCCAAGAGGAAGGCACGTCAAGTCAACCCCAACTGCGACCGCCTTCCACCCGGAAACCAACGCCCTCACTGCGGGAGAAAATGTAGGTCAAGAATAGGGCTCCACAGTCACTTATGGACCCACCAGTACACTGATCTTGGAAGACTATCCTACTCGGACAACGAGAGACTGCCTAAGTAAGTAGTAAGTTGAAGTCCAAAACACCTGGAGGGCCAAGTTTTGCCCATGCCCAATGTATAAGAAAGCAGATAGAAATTCTCTCAAGTCATGCAGCATCTTTGACTAATAAAGCTGTGGCAATCTAACCCAAAAAAGCTGAATAACCATTATATCTTTCACTCACCTGTCCAAATCATTTCACCGTTCCGAATTAATTTAAACTTCATTTTTCTGTCTAATAGCCCCTTCTGTACTCTGCAGCCAGCTACTGGGATTTTATTTTTTCCTACTGTGACATCAAAGGTGGCGAGCACAACGGCTTCTCCTAGGGAATATGGGAAAGAATCGTGGGAATCAATTATTTCAAAAATATCTTGGCATTTTGCTCCTGTAAAGGAAAGAAACAGCTGACTCCAGTCTATATGCATACACACTCAAAGCCTTACAAAGAAAAACATTGAAAGAGTAGTCTGGGAGGAATTTGATGGACAGCCTATGCTTAGCAGTCTCCCAGCAAACAGCAGGATGACCAAAGTCCTTCAAAGTATAGTATCTCAGCCAGGCTTTTCACATACCTCCCTAGAAAAGGTAGATTTGGCAGTGTTTTATAACAAACCTTGGGTTGTATAAGTGTACAGGGTCTTCAAAGAGTTGTCTATAAATGTACTGAAATGTTCAAAATGGCTGTGCATTCAACCAAAAACATTTTTTGCCAATGGCTTTAAAAAGTTGGTACAACACAGGGAAAAATGCATCGTAAAGAAAGGTGACTGTAGAAAAGTGATGTCCTGTATTGTCATGTGATATGTTCTGCAGTTGATGGTGGTTGGTGATGAAAGGGTTAATGTAAGTATTAGTTCTAATGGGTTGAGTAATCTGTAAGCAAGAGTTCATGGCTGAAAGCAACTAAGCGTGGAGTTATGCAAGAGATAGGATGCAGCTGGGTGTGTCTGGATATAAGGAGCGGGCCTTGGAAATTATCTTTGGGAGAAAAGTATTTGTCATATTTTGGTGGTGGATGCTGCTGGTTCTCCCCCAGGTTTCGGTATCCTGACCTGTCTCCGTAACTCTTAGAATCCTGGAACTCTGAATCTTTGGACTGGCTGTTGACTACAGTAGACTCTAATCACTGGATTCTCAAGAGTTTGACCACTGGCCTAGACCTTTGACTACGGAGTTATCTTGAACCTGCAACAGTGTTTGCTATTTTTGTTTATTCTGTGCCTAAGTGCTATCTTTATGTTTTATATTTTGGACTAAAAGTAGTCCAAAATATAAAAAGTAGTCCAGTGGACCAGGAAGTAAGTGCTGTTTTAATTAAATTGTTTTATACAAACTGGGTTTTTATTTGGTTCATCTCTGCCTCTAATAACGCAGAGCCCTGGCAATGTGCCATGTATATAAGCCTAATTTTCAGCCCTTATTTTAGGCTGAAAAAACCCCTTTTGGCTTATTCTCGGGTGAGGGTCCTGGCAGGAAGGCATGGGGGTGAAAGAAGGGCTTCTTTCAGTTCCATGCCTTCCTGCCAGAACCCTCACCTCTCTGCACTGCAACACAGCTCTCTTTCCTCTTCCCCTCTCTCGTGCAGTACGCACCTTCCTCTCCTTCTCTTTCGGTGCAGAATCCACTTTTCTTGGGCCAGGCTTTAGCACAGCTGGTAAATCACCAGCAATGATAAGATCTACCAACTGAAAGCTTACCAGTTCAAAGCCCTGGGTCGGCATGAGCTCCTGACTGTCAGCCTAGCTTACTGTTTGTCTAAGAAGTTCAAAAACAGCTCATGCTGTAAGTAGAAAAATTAGGTATCGCTAAAACATGTGGGGGAGGTATTTTATGACACCATAAAGAAAAAGATCTGAAAATGTCCAGCAACCAAAGGGAAAAAGTCCAGATGGCTCTTCATCATAGAGAATGGAGCAACAGAACCCTCCTGTGGCTGGATCCAAGCACAACCTCCAAGGCACCGAAAAACTGGACGTTGACACAACATATCTTCTTTCTGTTCTGTCTCTGTCCTGTCTATCCAAAACAGCATTGAACGTTTGCTGTGTATGTGTACTGCGATCTGCCCTGAGTCCCCTTGGGGAGATAGGGCAGAATATAATTAAAGCATTATTATTCCTCTCCTTCTCTCTCGGCGCCAGTCTTTCCCACTTTTCCTTTTTCATATACACACAGCATTTTCCCCAAAATGTATAGTTAAAATAAACTATGGTGATTATAGGAAGGCTACGTAAGCACATTTACACTGAAGGTTAATGATTTAATCAGAGTTGGACAGTCTTATCTTAAATATATAAATATTCAAAACATTTAACCTACTGATACTTCAATTAATGTAATTTTATTGATATCTACTTTTACCAGTAGCTGCTGCATTTCCCACCCATCGGCACCTGCAATTCAATGGTGTACCTATTACATGCTCTTCCACGGAATGGGGCAAAGTGCGGCTGAGTTCCTCCTGCAAGTCTTCAATGAGTCGGTAGATGATGTTGTGCATTTTTATCTGTATTCCTTTCTTAGCAGCCAGCTTCTGAACAGTTTTATTGGCGTTCACATTGAACCCATATATAATGCCTGGAAAACCAACAAAGATTGAAATCATTTTCTTTTGAAAAGGTACTAAGGAATGCCTTCAGGAAAGATGGACAACATTTCTACATCAAGAAAAGCTGATTGTTGCATGCCTAATAAACTCACAACAACAACATCTGTTATAGAACTCCAGTATGCTGATGAAAACGTCATCTGTGCGCATTCAGAAAAAGACCTACAAGCCACTCTAAACACCTTTGCAGAAGCATACGAGAAACTCGGCCTGTCACTGAACATCGAGAAAACCGAAGTGCTCTTCCAGCAGACACCAGCCAATCCCTTTCCAATGCCAGAGATACAGTTTGATGGTGTTGACAATTTCCGCTACTTTGGCAGCCATCTCTCCACAAAAGTCAACATTGACACTGAAATACATCACCTGAGCTCTGCGAGTGCAGCATTTTTCTGAATGAAGCACAGAGTGTTTGAGGACCACGACAACTGTAGGGATACGAAGGTGCTTGTTTATAAAGCTATTGTCCACCCAATCCTGCTATACGCCTGCAAGACATGGACTATCTACAGACGTCACATGCAACTCCTAGAATGATTCCATCAGCTCTGCCTCCGAAAAATCCTGCAAATCTCTTGGGAAGACAGGCAGACAAACGTCAGTGTGCTGGAAGAAGCAAAGACCACCAGCACTGAAGCGATGGTCCTCCGGCATCAACTCCGCTGGACCAGGGAACACGCCAAGAACTGGGAAGCTCTGGCCCTTGAGCGCTCTAGCTGGAGTTCAGCTGTGACCAACAGTGCTGTAGAATTTGAAGAGGCACGAATGGAGGGCGAAAGAGAGAAACGTGCCAAGAGGAAGGTGTGTCAAGCCAACCCCGACCAAGACCACCTCCCACCCAGAAACTGATGCCCGCACTTCGGGAGAACATGCAGGTCAAGAATAGGGCTCCACAGTCACCTACGTACCCGCTGCCGGGACACTGAACTTGGAGTACAATTGTACTCGAACAACTAAGTAAGTAATAAACCATGAACACTTGGAGATGTTTACGTCTTGTTCATAGAATCATAGAGTTGGAAGGGCCATCCAGTCCAACCTCCTTCTATGTAGAAAATATTGGGATATGGATTATGACCTGTTAGGATCATAACCTATTGGGTAGCAGAGTTTCGGAAGTGTTCCTTTAGTTTATTGGGTAATGGATGATCACTGGGCACATAAATATCTTGCTCCTATTCAAGCTCTCACCAGACAAAGATTCAAGTAGACTTGTTTGTTTTTTTACTCACAACTTCGTGTATTTAAATATACAGGCCCATTTCTTGTCAGGTTAAACTTTAAAACATTTCAGTGTGTATCTTTAACTTATAGTCTTTATCAGTCTCTTCAAAACTATATTGCTTTGTACGGCACTCTTTCATAACAGTCAACTTCCAAGGGACTCAAGCCTCAACTGACTTCTAACTTCCAACACTGACTTCTGTACTCAAACTGACTCAAGCCTCAACTGTTATTTCTCAACTCTCATCCTTTTAAAACTGCATTCTAAACAGTCAGTGAACTAGTCACATGGTCTGTGCAGCCCCTCCCACTGCCTCAAGTATATAGAGCTAAGGAAACTGCAAACCAAAGAAGACATACACTTCAGGAAATAAATGACATATTATAAACAGACAAAACATTAAATAGAGGAGGCTTTAGAAGGTTGCTATTTCCAACAGGAACACACAATCAAAGCATTTCTAACAGATTACCATCCAGCCTCTGCTTAAAAACTTCCAGAGGAGACTCCACCAGACTCCCAGGCAGCGGTATATTCCACCGTTGAACAGCTCTTACCATCAGAAGTAAGAGGTGGACTCTTTTTCTGAAATTTTAACCCATTGCTCCATTGTGTCCTAGTCTCTAGAGCTGCAGAAAACAAGCTTGCCCTCTCCTCAATGTTACATCCTTTCAGATATTTAAGCATGCCCCTTCTTAACCTTCCCTTTTTCTGATTTATTCTTCTATTGCAAATCTCAGAGAGAGAAACTTTGGCCAGAAGAAATCCTACCAAACACAATTTTAAGTTGTGATATCACATCACTCATTGTAGTTTGCATGCCAAACAAAGCCAAGGTGAAGCAGTGTATTCATGGATCACTTTCAATCATCCCAAAGAATCACCAAGCTTCAGCACTCCTCACCTTCCTTCTTCCTTTATAAATATGCAAACCTGACATTTTCTTGAGTTTTCTGATGCTTGCCCAGAGAGCATGAATAAGTCATGTTTCCTGCTACACACAAAGAAGCCCGTACTCTCAAACCCACTTTCACAGCAATTAGAACTGGAGAATTTTTTATGAAAGGAGGAAGATGATGGGTGACCTTTCCAAGATAATAACATTTCTGCCCTGGATTCTCATCATCTGCAGTCAAGACACAACCTGCAGAAATCCATTTTCTAAACATCTGCAGAAGTCCATTTTCTAAAACTCACACTCAACATAACTCTTATTATTTCTTGCTACTCGTTCAATCCGATTTCTGGTGACAATGACATGTCATTGCCGACTTAGTCCAACTCTCAGGTGAACCTATCACATGGTTTTCTAGGCACGATTTAAACAGAGGCGTTTTACCTTTGCCTTCCTCTGAGGCTGAGAGAGTGTCACATGCCCACCGAGGTTGCATGTTTGAGCTGGGATTTGAACCCTGGTCTCCAGAGTTGAAATTCAACATTCAAATCATTACACCATCTGTACAAGAAAATGTGCAGTATCTCAATCCTACATCCCTCGCATTCAGAAATAAGGATGGTTTACATCCATAAAGCAGAAATGTATGCCCATCGTATGACACAACATATCCATTTAGTCCCAGCCTGAAATGATACTGAAGAGGGAAAGATGCTGCCTTTACATTTCCCTTGCAATTTTCAGGCCACTTGGTACAAACTTGAACTCATTATCAATCTGTTAACGACTAGAAAGCCCAAAATCAAAAGGCTTCACCTATTCAGCAAACTAAATTACCTGCTTTTCATAACCAGGGATGTCAAAAGGTCTGCTCTTACCTTTAAATGTCTCTGCGAGGTGTATGTCACTTTCACCAATGTCTCCAACCCCAAACTGGATGACATCTAATTCACACTCCTCGTCCGCGTCATAAGTGTCCAGGATGTTCAGAATGGCTTCCACAGATCCATCTACATCACCTGCATGGACCAAGAGGCGTCATCGGTTTGAGTGTATAAGAATCGCATCTCATGCTCACAAAGAATATTGTATCAGCTACCTAAAAATGCTAGTAATGTGTGCTAGAAAGGTTAGAAATGAATAGTCCCAAATGAGCAGGAATAGAGGAATGAATCTGATATTCCATGAGGAAAAAAAATCTAGATATTCCATCCAATTGATTTAAATGCTATTGTGCAATTAGATGGAGGGTCCTCAGGCACAAAACATAGAATCATATAATAATAGGGTTGGAAGAGATCACATGAGCCATCTAGTCAAATCCCCTGCCACATAGGACAGCACATTCAAAGGACCCCTGACAGATGGCTAACAAGCCTCTGTTTAAAAGCCTCCTATAGAGAATCTTACCTAGTAGGCCGGAAAGGAAGCCTGGATAACAGTATGGCAATCCTCCATTTTGGGAGTGGAAGCCAGGGAACCAGCCATCTTGAGTGAGGAGAGTTAGAAGATGGGAGGAGTTTGAGGTCTCCTAGGATTGGCTAGAGCAGTTGGGAGGAGCAAAGTCTGAGGAGGGAAAAGATTTCAGCTTCTGTGGGAGTTGAGAACTGGGAGCTGGTGTGTGGAGAAGGGTTTTTGAAACTGGGTTTTCAGGGAGGGAGTGTCTGTGTCAGACAGTGCTGTGAGCTGACAGGAAAGGTCAGACAGCAACCTGATTTCTTGTGGGAGTTGGCACAAGAGATTAGCTCTCTATGCTGGGTTAGTTAGCAGGAAGAACTCTAGGGAAGAGTTTGTTAATAACCCAGGGGACCACTTAGGATAGGTTAGTCAGAACTCATTACTATTTCTCTGAAGCAGAGTAAGGGTTTTTGTTATCAACAGCTAGATCTGTTTGATTAGCTCTGTCTGTAACTAAGTGAAGAAACTTATTCAAGCAACCATCAAGCTGAAGTACTTTTGTAACAAGTTACACTTTTTGTACCTTTCAGAAGTAGTTAGTTGTCTGTTCCTCTGTTCCTATAAATAAATCTTTCTATTTAACTTTCAAAAGATTTCTACTGTGCATCATTCAATCATCAAGCTTTTGTGATATTTCCAGCATTTTTAACATCTTGCTACTACAGAACAGTCATTTTGGGAGCCAGGGGAAAAAGCAGTGTTGGCAGGAGTGGGAAAAGTTTACCTCAAATACTTTTTTAGAAATCCTAAGACAACTTAGGTTGGTGGCAGCTTTACTTTAAAAGAAGTTTTAAGACAAGCAATGATCAAGCTCACTCGCCCATCAGAAGCTTCCACAACACTCTGAGGAAAGAGTTCCACTCTTTAACTTTATTCCAAACCTGAAGAGGCCCAGTGAATGAGGGGTATCAGAGCTTTCCAAACTGTCACATCATGTTAGTGTGTCAGCTGCAGTGTGTAGGTTTGTCGTGTGAATGGAAGGAGCAATCTCTTGAGTCTATGTGAAATAAGCAATAAATCATACATTTTAATCAATATAAATGAAAGATTTTCATGAGATATGATGTGTCCCCATACATTTCATTATTGTTCATTCGTTCAGTCGTCTCCGACTCTTCGTGACCTCATGGACCAGCCCACGCCAGAGCTCCCTGTCATTATTACAATTTATTTTTTAAAGCAATGCTTTTGGAGCTTGAACATTGTTTCCATTCTAAATATCTCGGTGTCATCTTAGATCGAATGCTAAAATATAGGAAACACTGCTTAAACATCAAGCACGAAGTAGCTGCATGCAATAATATCCTACAAAAACTTACAGTACATGGAGTGCAGACCCAAAATTAATAAGATTAGCTCTGTCCTTGTCTTACTCAACTGCCGAGTATGCCTGTCCTGTTTGGCATAAGTCTGCCCATGCAAAGCAGGTGAATACAGCATTGAATGACTCATGCAGAATAATCACAGGATGTCTTAAACCTACACCTGTTGATAAACTCTACAAACTAGCTGGCATTGCTCTTCTGATGTGCGATGGGAAGTTGCTGCTAAATGTGAGAGACATAAGGTTGAACTCTGTGAAAGCCACCCACTACATGGCTACCAGCCTCCTCCTAGTAGGCTCAAATCAAGGAAAAGCTTTATGAGAAGTACCACTCCTCTTAGCGTCCCCCAACAACAGCAAGGATATCCCTCTGGGCAGCTAAACCAGGAAACCCCAACTGGATTGCTCCCCGCGAGGGTCTTCCTCCAGGGGCAAACCAAGAATGGGCAACTTGGAAGTCCCTGAGTAGACTCAGAAGCGGAGTGGGCAGATCAAAAGACAACCTGGCAAAATGGCACTACTTAACAAAATCCCAAAACTTGTGTGACTGTGGAACAGAACAGACAACTCCGCATCTGTATGCTTGTCCACTATGCCCTGCCTCATGTACAGAGGAAGAATTGTGGAGGGTACAGACAATACCGTTGCTGTTGCCCATTTTTGGTCAAAAGATATTTAGCTGACTGCATGCCTTCTATTTGTATCACTTTTATACTGACTTATGCAATGCTTTCGATACAAAATAAATAAATAACAATTTAGGTATGTGCCTTTATCTTTTAAAAGGAGTTGGTTTAGCTGAATTACTGTGTCACTAAATGATGCATGTCTATCAAGTCTGTCTCCAACATGAAATGTTTGGAAAGCTCTGCTATTACGTTCAACAATTGATACAAATGGCTGTCACCTAATAGCGACTGACCCAGGCCACAGTCTACCTCTCTATTACAGCCTTTATCATTCCAGACAAGACTCATTTTGAATTCTGATCATATCCTATTTCCCAGAGGTTTGGAATTGTGCCATTTTTGCTTTACTTAGGAGACACTGAACTCAATACCCCATTGCTAGGGGGGGAATGCATGCCTCTGATCACTTTTCTGGATTCTCTGCAAAACAATTTTGAAAGCATCTATTTCTACACTGAATATTTCCACCAGATGCCTTTTTTTCAGTTCAGACTCCCATGAGGTTTCCCTTTGCTTTGCCCTCTTTTCTCTCAAAACTCCTCCTCTGTTTTGCTGCAAAAAATGCAATGACTGCACTTCTTTGTGTTGATTCAATTACAGAACAGACAGAAACAAAGCCAACTTCTGCTAGAGAAGGCATGGGCAAACTTGGACCCTCCGTTTGTTTTGGACTTCAACTCCCACATCAATAGGAGCACAGTGTCTAGATCCAGGGAAGTCATGCTACCCTTCTATTCTGCCTTGGTTAGACCACACCTGGAATATGGTGTCCAATTCTAGGCACCACAATTGAAGAGAGATGTTGACAAGCTGGAATGTGTCCCGAGGAGGGCAACTAAAATGATCAAGGGTCTGGATAACAAGCCCTATGAGGAGTGGCTTAAAGAGCTGGGCATGTTTAGTCTGAAGAAGAGAAGGCTGAGAGGAGATATGATAGCCATGAATAAATTTGTAAGGGGAAGTCATAGGGAGGAGGGAGCAAGCTTGTTTTCTGCTTCCCTGGAGACTAGAACGCAGAACAATGGCTTCAAACTACAAAAAGGAGATTCCATCTGAACACTAGGAAGAACTTCCTGACTGTGAGATCTGTTCAGCAGTGCAACTCTCTGCCCCAGAGTGGGGTGGAGGCTTCTTCTTTGGAGGCTTTGAAGCAGAGGCTGGATGGCCATCTGTTGGGGGTGCTTTGAATGCGATTTTCCTGCTTCTTGGCAGAGGGTTGGACTGGATGGCCCATGAGGTCTCTTCCAACTCTATGAATCTATGATTTATAGGGAGAGGTGCACAAAACTAGCCAGGCCAAAACAGACCCTACCTTTGATGATGACTGGGAGTATGTTTTTGTCACTCTCCACCTTTTCTTTTGGTCGATGGGCCATGAGATGCCTTTTGGCTTTGAACAAAGCCGCCCTCCTCTGTTTCCAGGTCAGGTTGACCAGGCCTTCCCTCTCCTTCTTGTAGGCCTCCTGGTGTTCCTTTTCTTTTGCTTCGATGACCTCAAGATCCTTCTTGACCTTCTCTTGCTGCTCAGCATATATCCGCCACTCAATGACTTCACGAGCCCTTTGCTTGGAAGATGAAGAACAACAAAAAGGATTCATAGGGATCGTGTGGCACCTTTCATACTAACAAGTTCTACAAGATCTCTTTGCATATTGATCCAAACATGACTGTGGCTTTGAACAAAAATAATTGTCTCTCTAGATCAGAATGGATTGTTCCACCTTAAAAGGTAAAGGTTTTCCCCTGGCATTAAGTCTAGTTGGTCTGACTCTGGAGGTTGGTGCTCATCTCCATTTCTAAGCTGAAGAACCAGCATTGTATGTAGACACCTCCAAGGTCATGTAGCCAGCATGGAAAGCCATTACCTTCTCACCAGAGTGGTTCCTATTGATCTACTCACATTTGCATGTTTTCGAACTGCTAGGTTGGCAGAAGGTGGGGCTAATAGTGGGAGCTCAGCCCGCTCCCCGGATTCGAACTGCCGATCTTTCGGTCAGCAAGTTCAGCAGCTCAGAGGTTTAACCTGCTGCGCCATTGGGGGCTCCATGTTAGGCTGTCATTAATGGCTTGGGATCTCCAGTTACTTTTCCATTTTGAAGAAGAGACACAGTACCCATTTCCTCCAATACCACTTTTCCCTTTGAATGTTTCCATCCCATATTATTTCCCAGCCTCCAGATCCTAAATGAAGACTTTGGGATAGCACCAGGACTTTGGGATAGCACCAGGAGAAAGCGGGGGGGACGGGGGGACGGGGGGACGGGACATTGAGAGTTGAGAGGGGAGTTTAGTATAATCCTAGCAAGAGCCATCCTTTCATGTCTAAGAGACTTTACAATCAGAACTTAATGGCAATAATAACACTATGAAATACAATTTTTGTTCCTGGGTTATAAATCTTATTTCCTAGTTGATCCAATCATTAAAAAATAGAAAAAGTTTCTTAAACTGCAAAAAAAAAAATTTTTTTTACGGGATATTCTGCATATCCTTTTGCTATAGTTTTTCAATAAATATCTCACAGTCTCAACCAATTCAACATAGTTTGGGGCAGCCACAAAAACAAAGTCCGGAGTAGAATGACTATTTTCAAAGTAAGTGCTTCACAATTAAACAGGAAATAACACTTTCAAACCAGGAACAGAAAATGTTTTAAATTTTGTTACATAGTATAATTATAGGTAAAGGTTTTCCCCTGACATTAAGTCCAGTCATGTCTGAATCTGGGGGTTGGTGCTCATCTCAATTTCTAAGCCGAAGAGCTGGCATTGTCCATAGACACCTCCAAGGTCATGACTGCATGGAGCTCCATTACCTTCCTGCCTGAACGATACATATTGATCTACCCACATTTGCATGTTTTCAAACTGCTAGGTTGGCAGAAGCTGGGGCTAACAGCGGGAGCTCATGCGGCTCCCTGGATTCGAACCTGCAACCTTTTGGTAAGCAAGTTCAGCAGCTCAGCAGTAGTTGATAAGCCACCGGGGACTCCACAAGTATAATTATACACAGATGTATACTGCGTTAAAACAGAGATTTCACTTTTCACTTCTTTATTTAATGACTTCCTCTCTTCTCCCAATTGGATTCATTGATATATAAGATGCAATAATCTTATATACTAGGGGTTGGAGATCTCAGGTCCTGGAGTTCACCTTATTATATACAAAACTCCATTCTCATCTCTGCTTCTGTAATTCCTTAGTGTATATGTATATATATAAATAATATATAAATCAATATAAAATAATGTAGCAAATTGATTGTTTGCATCACTTAACACAGGTATGGGCAAACTTTGGCCCTCCAGGTGTTTTGGACTTCAACTCCCACAACTCCCCTGGAGGGCCAAAGTTTGCCCATTCTAGCATAAGCCATTTCACATTTACTTTTTCTAGAAGACTGGATCACACATCTGGTCCCCCAATAACACTCTTCAAGCCTGGATATAATATGTATCCAGGGACAGAACTACACCTGGAGTCAATACCTCAGACTCGACTTCGAGGATTTCCTCTCCGGCTGAAGGCACCTCCTTCCACCCTACGATCTCCACCGGCATGCTCGGGGAGGCCGTTTCCATGGGGTTGCCATTCTCGTCGAACATCAGGCGCACTTTGGCCCAGCTTTTTCCTGCAACCAGAATACAGCCTTTTCTCAGAGTACCTCTTTGGATGATGGCAGTGGTCACTGGGCTGGGGGTCGGGTGAAGAGAGGAGAGCATAGTGGTTCGAGGAAAGGGAGAAAGAAGGAAAATGACATATAGGTTATTATATTTAAAATGCTAATAATATGATTATGTGTGTGTGTGTGTGTGTGTGTGTATCGGCGCTTCATGCAGTCATGCCGGCCACATGACCTTGGAGGTGTCTATGGACAATGCCGGCTCTTCGACTTAGAAATGGAGATGAGCACCACCCCCCAGTCGGACACGACTGGACTCCATCTCAAGGGAAAACCTTTACCCATGTATATATATCTTGTAAGCTGCTTTGAATCCCCTTCGGGGTGAGAAGGGCGACATATAAATGTCGTATATATAATATAGTAGCCGTCCCCTGCCACCCGTTGCTGTGGCCCACTCTGGTGGTCATGGGGGTTCTGTGTGGGAGGTTTGGCCCAATTTTATTGTTGGTGGGGTTCAGAATGCTCTGTGATTGTAGGTGAACTACAAATCTCAGCAACTACAACTCCCAAATGTCAAGAATCTATTTTCCCCAAACTCCACCAGTGTTCACATTCGGGCATATTGAGTATCTGTGCCAAGTTTGGTCCAGATCCATCATTGTTTGAGTCCACAGTGATCTCTGGATGTAGGTGAACTACAACTCCAAAACCAAAGGACACTGCCCACCAAACCCTTCCAGTATTTTCTGTTGGTCATGGGAGAACTGTGTGTCAAGTTTGGTTCAATTCCATTGTTGGTGGGGTTCAGAATGCTTTTTGATTGTAGGTGAACTATAAATCCCAGCAACTACAACTCCCAAATGACAAAATAATTTTTTTTGAGTGAAGGACATACATTGGGTTGTTTGGTGTCTTGTTTCCAAATTTAATGTCAATTCGTCCAGTGGTTTTTGAGTTCTGTTAATCCCACAAGCGAACATTCATTCTATCTATCTATCTATCTATCTATCTATCTATCTATCTATCTATCTATCTATCTATCTATCTATCTCCAAGTTGGTGTTTACTTTCAGTACATATTTTGGTAACTACAGAAGCAATAATATGCCGGATTTGCAGTAATTTTCTTACTGCAAAGCTAGAAAGACCACAATAAGAAATGTAAAGCAACTCATTTCCCTCTGCAAATAACCTAGTGATTAAATTTAGAATACTAATCCACTCCAGCCAACACAATTAGGCATTAAGGTGGAGAAGGCCTATTTAGAAATCCAGTGTATACAAAGACATGTATGTTTTCATTAGCAAATACCACATCAGTAATCATTGGTTGGTATATTTAATAAAAAATATGTTTCTGATCCACTACTTTGTTGCAACTCCAATTCATTATTGGCCAGGGAAAGTGGAAATTCCGCTCTAGGAACACAAGATCTCTTGTGCCGATGCCTTACCCTTTCCCTTTATCTGTGCGAGACTCCACTATGGTTCCTTCCACCAGGCCTGTGCAGTCTGCCTTCAGTTCCAGCACCTCCGCAAGAGCCACGGTTGCCTCGGCTAAAGCCATCAAATTGTCCCCCTGCGCCAAACAAAAGTCACAGGAACATCCAGCAGTTGCCAATTAGTTTCCGCGCAAAGTGCAAAGTGTTGGTTTTGACCCTTAAAGCCTTATATGATTTGGGTCTAAGTTACCTACAGGATTGCCTTATCCTTACTCCAGCCACCCAGAAACTGATTGGCAAACATCACCCAGAAGACCTTTTCATCTAGGTATTAACTAGGTATTTTTAATTACAAAAATGTGAGTCAAGCACTGAAAGGGTTAAATGGATGCAATGACTTAGCAAAAGCTGTAGTTCTATATGAGCGGGTGTGCCTGTAGCTTAGTAGCCCTCAGTCTGTGAGAGGTCTCTGTGGAAGAAGGGTCACAGTGTGTTAGTAGGCCTCAGTATGAGTAGGCATCACTGTTAGTTTGCCTCAGTGTGAGAAGGCCTCAGTGGGAGAAGGACTCAGTGGGAGAAATGCCTCAGTGTGAGAAGGCCTCAGTGTGAGGTAGGCTTCAGTGTGTGAGGTAGGCCTCGGTATGAGAAGGCTTCATGTGTGAATCCCCAGTGTGAAGGCTACTGTGTGTAAAAAGCTACTGTGTGAAACTCTTGGGTAACTTCAGTGTGAGAAGAGGCTCTGTGAGAGCAAAGCTGTTTATCTGCATGAGAAAGAAGCCCAGAGTGGAAGCAAAGAAGGAAGTGTAAATAACTGTCATGTATCATGTTCTGCAATTGTTGATGGTTGGTGGTGATAGGCCTAGCAGTTGGTGATGGAAGGGTTAATGTAAGTCTCAGTCCTAAAGGGTTGAGTAATCTGTAAGCAAGAGTTCATGAGTGAAAGCAATTAAGGATGGAGGTATGCAAGAGACAGGCTGCAGCTGGGTGTTTCTGGATATAATGAGCTAGCCTTGGAACTGATCTTGGGGAGAAAAGTATTTGTCTTATTTTGGTGGTAGATGCTGCTGGTTTTCCCCAAGGTTTGTGGATTTTCGGTATTGTCTCCTGTACTTTTGGAACCCTGGAACTTTGAATTTCTGGACTGGCTTCTGACTACAGTATACACTCTTGATCCCTAGACCTGCTTGTTGAACTCTCGGCGTTTGACCACTGGACTGGACCTTCTGACTACAGTGTTATTTTGAACTTGCAACAGTGTTAAGGAGCCCCTGGTGGCGCAGTGGGTTAAACCCCTGTGCCGGCAGGACTGAAGACCGACAGGTCGCAGGTTCAAATCCGGGGAGAGGTGGATGAGCTCCCTCTATCAGCTCTAGCTCCTCATACGGGGACATGAGAGAAGCCTCCCACAAGGATGATAAAAACATCAAAACATCCGGGCATCCCCTGGGCAACGTCCTTACAGACGGCCAATTCTCTCACACCAGAAGCGACTTGCAGTTTCTCAAGTTGCTCCTGACACGACAAAAAAACCCAAAACAAAACAAAAAACAGTGTGTGTGGTCAGTTTTTGTTTTATATTCTGTGGCTGAGTGCTATGTTTATGTTTTATATTTTGGACTATTAAAACAGCCAGAAAGTAAGTGCTGTTTTAATTAAATTGTTTAGCACAAACTGGGAGTTTGTTTGATTCATCTCTACCTGAATACGGCAGAGTCCTGGCACCGTGACAATAACTTTATGTGTATTATGGAAACCTTGTTCTTGTAAAAAGTACAATCATATTATTTTACTACAAACAAAAGCCTCCTATGAAAGAGATAACATTAGTCTGTGTGGTTTTTTTTTTATCATTTTGGGATACTGGTGCTGGGTCACGCTGCTAAGTTACTCTGCTGTACATTTATGAAAAGGGTCTTTTGTTAATAAGCCCACTTACCCAACAAAACCCACTTTGTTCCTATATTTTCCAAAGATGGCACTGAAGTTGCTTTGTCTTACCTTTAATGCAGAAATATGGACAGTTTGAACATCTCCTCCATATTCTTCACAAACCACATCATGAGCCAGCAGTTCTTTCTTCACTCTGTCTGGGTCAGCCGCAGGCTTGTCGCATTTGTTGATGGCAACAATCACTGGAACTGAGAAAGGGAGAGAAGGTTGACAGTTAAAAGCATCCAGAGACCTTGCAGCTTCACTGAGCAAAAGGACTTCGTTTTCATCATTTCAAAGAGAGAAACTCTACTGATATGGATCCACAATGTGGAATCGGGACCTAAGAAGGCCTGGGTGGACTACAGATTCAACAAGAGAAGATGGCTATGTATACAGTGTGAACAGGGATGCTTTCCGGCAACTTTCCTGGAGAAAGAAGCCTGGGGTACCTTTAGCATTTTTAGCATGTTGAATAGATTCCACCGTCTGCCGCATCACGCCGTCTTCTGCCGCAATCACCAAGATGACAATGTCAGTGACGTGCGTCCCTCTTGCCCTCATGGCCGAGAAGGCGGCATGGCCAGGGGTGTCCAGGAATGTTATCTTCTCCCCAGAAGGCAAATGCACTGCAAAAACAGAGCAGAACAAATGGAAGTGCACACAATCCCTTTTTATTATTATTATTAAACTTTATTTGTACCCCGCTAGCATCTCCCGAAGGACTCGATGCAGCTTACAAACGCCAAGGCCTTAACACAACAACAGCAAACAATACCTCACTCCTTGTACTATTTTCAAATGTTTTCCACAAAGGACTGCTTTCAACAAGGATTTAAAAATTCTTCTCAAAAGCTAAACCAGCTTTCTGCTACTCGTTGGACTACAAACACCATCATTCAACTGACTGGGAGTGCTAGGAGTTTTAATCTAAAATGTCTGAGATTAACTGGTGGGAAAAGGCTGGGTTAAACTTGGATTTCTACCAGTGAAGTCTGGTCATTGATAAAAACTGATTGATTGTCTGAGCAAGGAAGTCTGTTACAAAATATTTTGATTTGCTGCAATCCCGTTACACCATATGTCCTCCAGAAAAACAAATCTTTGCCTACAGTTTTTTTTAACCGAGTCTGTCTGCACTCTCATGTCCTACATCAGGCATGAGCAAAGTTCAACTCTCCAGGTGTTTTGGACCTCAACTCCCACAATTCCTAGGCTGTTAGGAATTGTGGGAGTTGAAGTCCAAACCATTTGGAAGGCCAAAGTTTGCCCATGCCTGCTTTGTAATTTATTTATTTATTCATTCATTCATTCATTTATTTATGACATTTATATGCCACCCTTGTCACCCCGAAGGGGACTCAGAGAGGCTTACAAGATATATACACATACAATACATTATATTATTAGCATAGGACAATATCAGTATTATATATTACTATATTGTACTATACCATTATATTGTAATATTATTCGTAGTTTCTCAAGTCGCTCCTGACACGACCAAAAAAAAATCGTAATATTACATGTAATGTAAAATATATAATTATAATATCATATTATTATTAGTAGTAGTATAATGTTTTATATTATAATATTATATATTATATGTATATACAATATATCAGGGGCCCTCAAACTTTTCAAACAGAGGGCCAGGACACAGTCCCTCAAACTGTTGGAGGGCTGGATTATAATTTGAAGAAAAAAAAATTCTTATGCAGACTGCACATATCTTATTTGCAGGGGGGAAAAAAACACACTTAAAAACAATACAATAATTAAAACGAAGACCAATTTTAGCAAATATAAACTTATTCGTATTTCAATGGGAAGTGTGGGCCTGCTTTTGGTTGATGAGAAATTATTGTTATTGTTGTTGTTGTTGTTGTGTGCTTTCAAGACATTCCAGATTTAGGTTGACCCTGAGTGAGGCCCGGATAAATGACCTTGGAGGGCCGTATTTGGCCCTCGCGCCTTAGTTTGAGGACCCCTGCAATATATTATATTACATTACATTATATTATATGAAGTAATGAAGAAAATAATTGTATTACATTATAACATTATAAATATTATATGTATATACAATATATTACATTACATTACATTATATGAAGTAATGAAGAACTTGTGTATGGAGCTTTGATCTTCCTACCTCTGCCCTTCATAACTGATGGAGAAAGAGGAAACCAGAATAGTGTCTCACTATTTTCCCATAGGTAAAGGTAAAGGTTTGCCATTGACATTAAGTCTAGTCATGTCCGCCTCTGGGTGGTGGTGCTCACCTCCATTTCTAAGCCGAAGAACCAGCACTGTCCATAGACACCTCCAAGATCATGTGGCTAGCATGACTGCATGGAGCACCATTGCCTTCCCACAGAAGCGATACCTATTGATGTACACACATTTGCATGTTTTTGAACTGCTAGCTTGGCAGAAGCTGGGCCTAACAGCGGGAGCTCATCTCACTCCCCAGATCCGTACACTGACCTTTCGGTCAACAAGTTCAGCAGTTCAGCGTTTTAACTGTCCTTTGACACCTCTAATAACCCCATCAGAGTATGCAATCCTTTCACTTCAAGAAATCCTACCCAGAAAGGCCCCGATGTGCTGGGTGATGCCTCCTGCCTCTGATGCTGCCACCTGAGTTTTGCGCAGGCTGTCGAGTAACGTGGTTTTCCCGTGGTCAACGTGGCCGAGAATGGTAACAACCGGAGGCCTTGAGGTTAATAAGTCTGGATCTGCTGGAGGCCTGGAATGAACACCATCACAATCAGTGTTGCAAATGATACAAATCTTTTTGTTTCTCCCTAACACTTTTTTTGGTAAGCGATTTCATATAATTCTTAAACAGCAAAGCTCTCTCTATGTGATCATCAGCCAAAGGTGAGTATAATGTACAAAAGAGGGGGAAACACAGATTTATTGTTAAATGAAATATGTTTAAAAAGCAGCAAAGAGTTTATTGCATCCCGTGCTTCTTAATTCTTTGTTGCACTCCAGGCCAGGAAACACCTCTGTACTTAACCTTACTTACTTAGGTGATCCTTCCTTGTCCGAGTAGGATAGTCTTCCAAGATTGGTGTACTGGCGATGGATCTGTTCGTGACTATGGAGCCCTATTCTTGATCTGCATGTCCTCCTGCAGTGAGGGCATTGGTTTCCAGGTGGAAGGCGGTCCCGGTCGGGGTTAGCTTGATGCGCCTTCCTCTTGGCATGTTTCTCCCTTTCACCCTCCATTCGTGCCTCTTCAAATTCTACAGCACTGCTTGTCACAGCTGACCTCTAGTTAGAGCACTCAAGGGCCAAGCCTTCCCAGTTCTTGGTGTCTATGCCACAGTTTTTGAGGTTGGCTTTAAGCCCATCTTTAAATCTCTTTTCCTGTCTTCCAACATTCCATTTTCCGTTCTTGAGTTTGGAGTATAGTAACTGCTTTGGGAGATAGTGCTCGGGCATTCGGACAACGTGGCCAGTCCAGCGGAGTCGATGGCAGAGGAGCATCACTTCAATGTTGGTGGTCTTTGCTTCTTCCAGCACGCTGACATTTGTCCGCTTGTCTTCCCAAGAGATTTGCAGGATTTTTGGGATGCAATGCTGATGGATTCGTTCCAGGAGTTGAGTGTGATGTCTGTAAACAGTCCATGTCTCGCAGGTGTATAGCAGGGTTGGGAGGACAATGGCTTTATAAACAAGCACCTTGGTATCCCTATGGATGTCCCGATCCTCAAACACTCTCTGCTTCATTCGGAAAAAAACTGCACTCGCATGTTATATTTCAGTATCTTCGAGATGCGGTCTCGAAGATAGGTTGGACCCGAAGCATATAGGACTTTATAGGTAACCACCTGCACTTTGAATTGGGCCCAGAAACTTATCAGGATGAACTGCAAAGAGGAGTTAGCATTCATCTCCTCGAGGATGGCATATCAATGTATATGGAGTCAAAATACAACTGTAAGTGTATTAATTTAGATCCTAATGTTCATGATCAATAAACTGATTGGAGTTTGTTCCCAGGACTCTTTGTCTCAAATGCAATTCTTCTTCCAGTTATGAGAGCATCTTCCAACCACAGAACAAAAAGCAAAGATCAAAACTGGATGCTTTGATTTGTACACAACAGGGGGTTAGAATGGATGGCCTTTGTGGTGTATTCCAGCTTTCTGTTTCTATGATTCTAACTGAACATGAAAAGCAGCTGAAGGCAAAACAGACACAAAAATAAAAGCACAAAATGCACAGAAACAGCAAACAAACAAAAATGCGGAAAAGCAGTTAACCAGAGACATCATCACCTCTTTACAGCATCTTTGTTTTCTTTGACTTTTTCTTCTTTCAACTTGGCCCATTTGTACTTCATGCCAGATTTTTTCACAATGTCTTTGATCCACGCTTCATCTAAGATGGAATCTGGTTCCAATGAGTCCAAATCGACGCTTGTGTTTAGCAGCGCTTCGTATACATGATCTGAATAATGAAAAAAGGAAATTACGTTGGAAGATGTTCCAATCTTGGAAAAATCTGCAACCCATGCAAGGAAAGCCTTCAACAACATATTGAAGCATCATTACTTTGTCACAAGGTGCATCTACATTGTAGAAGTAACACAGTTTGACAACATTTTAACTGACATGTCTTCAATGCCATGGAATCATACGAGTCATATTTTGGTGTGACCAGTATTCTGGCTAAAAGCTCTTGCAAAACTGTAAGACCCAAGATTCCATAGCGCTGAGCTATGGCAGAAAGGGGTGTCAAACTACATTAATTCTACAGTGTAGATGCATCTTTCAACAAAGGAAAAATATTATCTCAGACAGGCTGCAGGCTATGGAAGGTGTCATAGGCCCCTTCCACACAGATGTAAATAATCCACACTGAACTGGATTTAGCACAACATATATATGGCAAGCATTCCATACTGGGACATAAAATAACTATAAATATATGCAAACACTAAAATTAGTTATATCTACTTTAACATCAATTGATTAAAACCATCTCAAAACATAATGCTATCTCCAATCAGCAGAGTGGGTTTTCTGTTAGTGCCTTATTGCATTGGTCCCACAGCCAGGTTTTTACCATCTTTCTGAAGGACAGGAGGGAGGGGGCTGATCTAATCTCATCAAGGAGAGAGTTCCATAGCCGGGGGGGGGGGGGGGGGGGGGGGGGGGGAAATCACAGAGAAGGCCCTCTCTCTCGTCCCTGCCAATCATGCTTGTCACGGTGATAGGTCCGAGAGCAGGGCCTCCCCAAAAGAGCTTAGTCTTCGCAGTGGTTCGTAAAAGGAGATGCATTCGGACAGATAAACTGGCCCAGGGCCGTTTATGGCTTATAGGCCGAAGCCATAACTTTGAATTGTGCTCGGAAGCAAACAGGCAGCCAGTGGAGTTGACATAACATGGAACTTGTGTGCTCCCTGTATAAAAAGGTAAAAGTTTTCCCCTGACATTAAGTCTAGTCATGTTCGACTCTGAGGGTTGATGCTCATCTCCATTTCTAAGCTGAAGAGTTGGCGTTGCCCATAGACACCTCCAAGGTCATGTGGCCAGCATGACTGCATGGAGTGCCATTACCTTCCCGCCGGAGCGGTACCTATTGATCTACTCAAGTTTGCATATTTTTGAACTGCTAGGTTGGCAGAAGCTGGGAGAGCTCACCCCGCTTCCTGCATTCGAACCTGCGACCTTTTGGTCAGCAAGTTCAGCAGCTCAGCACTTTCACCCACTGCACCACCGGGCACTCCCTGTACGCTGTCCCAGTTATTAACCTGGCTGCCTCTCGTTGGACTATTTGAAGCTTCTGAACAGTCCTCAAAGGCAACCCCATGTAGAGCACATTGCAGTAATCTATCCTGGATGTAACAATATAATAATCATAATAATCATAAACACGCCAAACTCCCCTGGGACTTCCAAATTCAGACATAATACTCCTGACCTCACAATCGTGTTAAAAAACAAAATATGGATCGTGGATATCGCAATCCCAGGTGACAGCAGGATTGCAGAGAAACAACTGGAAAAGCTGACACTATATGAGGATTTAAAAATCGAACTGCAAAGACTCTGGCACAAACCAGTAAAGGTGGTCCCAATGGTGATCGGCACACTGGGTGCAGTGCCTAAAGACCATGGCCTGCACTTAAGCAACATCGACACTGACAAAATTACCAGCTGCCAGCTGCAGAAGGCCACCTTACTGGGATTTGCACGCATTATTCACCGATACATCAAACAGTCCTAGACACTTGGGTAGTGTCCGACGTGTGATCCAATTAAACAGCCAGCAGAGTGTCTGCTGTGGACTCATCTTGTTGTGTTTCAAATAATAATAATAATAATAATAATAATAATAATAATAATAATACTTTATGTATATACCACCCTTCTCACCCCAAAGGGGACTCAGGGTGGATCACAAGTACACATACACGGCAAACATTCAATGCTGTTTGTATAGACAGTACACAGATAGACAGCAGAGAAGGATGTGTTGTTTCAATACTATGGACGGTTGGGCTCGAGTCCACCGTGGGTACTGTCCATCCTCTATGACAAAGAGTTGTCAGGATTTCCTCATTTCTTTATGGTGTTGTAAAACACCTCCCCCGCTTTTAGTGGTACCTAATTTCTCTAATTACAGCTAAAGCTGTTTTAGAACTGCTTAGGTCAACAGTGAGCAGGGCTGACGGTCGGCCGCTCACGCCGATCCGGGGCTTTGAACTTGCAACCTTTCAGTTGACAGATCTTATAGTTGCTGATGATTTACCAGCTGTGCTAAACTTCCGGTTTAGCACCGTCGCCAAGTCTATATAGCAATATGGACTCAGATAATCCAGTTCAAAGCAGATATTGCGGGTTATCTTCCTTGATATTCTGGGTTATATGGCTGTGTGGAAGGGCCTCTAGTCATTATCCCAGAGGTCACTGGATTTAGACCTTAACATTTGGCCACATTCTCATGTAAACATCACAATGCAGTGTCTTTATTGTAATTGGCACCATCTTATTATGTTCATTTAATGTGGTGGAGAAATCTAAATGAAACCTGCTAAAAATTTACAAGGGTATTTTCCCCCCTCAACACCAAAAATAAACCATTTTTTAAAAAGGAATGAAACAAAAGAAGTCTCCAACTGGGATCAATTCGACAGCGAAATCTTTTAATTCAAACTCTTCTCAGATGAAAGCCCCTCGAGCACATCGGAAGCAGATGGCGAAGGAATGCTCCGGAGGATGAAAGGCGATTCGTGCACATCTCCTTCGCAGGCCTTTGTGGTAATGGAAAGGCAGGAAATACCAAAACAATTAAGGTTGCTAATGAACGCCATGAGCGAGCGCAGCTACAGAACTCCAGAGTCAGCAGACAGCAGGCACAGACCCCCATTCTCAGTCTCTCTCCTGTCTTGGGAAGGTTGTGAAATGGAGTGGGCAATTAAATGGAGCAAAACAAAGCGGAAAAGCAAGGGTGGACGTGGCTGGAGCATTTGCGGACATCTTAATCCTACCCTGGAAAGCCTGAAAATCAATGAGTTCAACAATCGCCAGAGCAAACATAGATGATTACTTCATTCATGCACGGTCGGCGTTCTTTGTCTCAGATTCCATTTTGCACACTGAATTGCACATTTGAATCTGGATTCATAGGTGACGATTGCCCAGTGTAAAGAGGCCACCAGTTTGTAAAGATGGCACCCAGTTTGTAACAATGCCACCAATAAGGGTTTGTAAAGGAGCCACCACTTTGTAAGGACTTTTTAAATTGACAACACAACTAATAGCTTGTGATATTGATTTGTGCTTTCTTCAATGTGTAGCGTGGCTTAACTTGAAAGTATTTGTAACAGAGACTTGGCTTTAGAAGAAACTGTAACAAGTTTATTGAAGTATAGAAGAAGCTTGATGGTTTCAATGTTTCTTAACTCTTAGAGGCACATTTCTTCAGAGGTTACATTTAATACATTTCAGAAAACAACTCTTAAGAGGACTATTCCTTCCACTAAACAGGTTTTAAACTTATTTTCCTTCAAAATGTGTTTCTTTCTTTAACAGATTACTTCAGGTACAAGCTTATTCTTTCCTTATGTTATTTCTGTTGCAGTAAAGATTCTTATTAGGGTTCTCTCCCCCTTTTGCTCATACACTGACTAATAATATAAATAAGTCAACTCGACCTATCTAAACTACACAGGCTGTACTAAAGCACCTTGCATTTTTTTGTTTTATCTAAACCATACTCCATGGTAAATGATGCCATAGAAAGGCATGGGCAAACTTGGGCCCTGGAGGTGTTTTGGACTTCAACTCCCACCATTCCTAACAGCCTCAGGTCCTTTCCTTTTCCCCCTCAGCCGCTTAAGCGGCAGAGGGAAAAGGAAGGGGCCTGAGGCTGTTAGGAATGGTGGGAGTTGGAGTCCAAAACACCTCCAGGGCCCAAGTTTGCCCATGCCTGCTATGTACAAATATCAATCAAAACATCAACCCCAAAAAGCTATGGAAAGGAAAAGGGTTCACCTATGTCTTTCTGCATTGCTCTCGCCAGGTCTTCCACTGTCATCCGGGGTTTGATCTCAACTTCTTGCTTTTGTGGTTTCGGTTGCGTCGGTCGCAGTTTGGCTTTGTCAGATTTCTTCCTCTACAAAAGAGGTGAACAGAAGTGAACAGAAAGGACCGAAGAGAATCTCGCATATCCAACCTTCACTCATCCAGTGTTCTGTCTGCCTCCCGCCCAGATCCACAGCTGTTTCAATACATTGTGATGTTTTGGTGCTAAATTTGTAAATACAGTAATTACTAGATAATTTTACCATGTATTGAACTGCTTTTTTCTGTCGATTTGTTTTAAAACATGATGTTTTGGTGCTTAATCTGTAAAATCATAATGTAATTTGATGTTTAAAAGGCTTTTCCTTAATCCCTCCTTATTATCCAACATTTTTGCTTATTCAATGTTCTGCCAGCCCGTTTATGTTGGATAAGCGAGATTGTACTGTATAACGCAAACATTCAATACCTTTTTACACAGTGAACAATAACATACAATGCACAGACAGATAGAGGTAAAGGCCTTCCCCTTTCTACCTCCGACATCTGGAGGCAATGCTCAACTCCAGCCATGGGGAGGTGCTCTTGTTCCATGCCAAGGAGCCTGTTGTTGATAAGACTTTGTCCAGTCGTTTGCTGGCATGTCTGCATGTCTGCAAGGGGCGCCCTTTTACCTCCTCATCGGTACCTATTGATCTACTTGCATTACATGCTTTCGAACTGCTAGGTAGGCAGCAGCTAGTGCTGTCAGCTAGGAGCTTACCCCAACTGTGTCCCTTTGGGGAGATGGGGGCAGGGTACAAGAATAAAGTTGTTGTTGTTGCTGTTGTTGTTGTTGTTGTTCCTGCACCTTGTATTCCCACGAAAGACTAGGGCCTTCCAGTACTTATAATTCACGAATTAAAGTTTTCATTCACGAATTAAAGTTTTTCTGGAGATATAAAGCGGAATATAAATAAAGTGTATTATTATTATTATTATTATTATTATTATTATTATTATTATTATGTAATCCAGTCTAATTTGGATATTATTATTATTATTATTATTATTATATAATCCAATCTAATGCGGATATTATACAAGTCTTCTAGTATGATTTTATAGCCAAGTTTGCACTGGAAAGCCTAGAGATTCCTAGCGATAATACATTAATCAAATCCATGAATGATCAAATCTGCAAAAGTCAAACCTGCAAACGAGAAGAGATGGCCATAGTTTTGTTTATAAGACCCTAAATATTTCTCAGTGATCTTGGAACCAAAACTACAGGATACAACTCCAAGGTACAAATTACACACATCTTGTCTCCACATTTCTTTCCCATATAAACAATTAAACAAACATGTTTATAAAAGGAACTGTTTTGGATGTTAACCACACAGGCAGGAAATATATGGCCTTCTTCCCCATACTTCTTTTCTTTGTGTTGTTATTTTTTTTTGACAAATCCGAAAGTTCTCAGCAATTACCCAGTCTAAAATCTCAGACCCCTTCTACACTGTCTTTATATCCCAGCATCCAATCCCAGGTTTGAACTGGATTATATGAGTCTCCACTGCCATATACTCTGGGATAAGAAGATAATCTCTCTCTATATATATGCTCTGTGGATAATGAGTTCCTTAAAAACAAAAGAACCAATGAACGAAATCACACCAAATTTGGCAACAAAACGTCTCACAACACAAGGAGTGACCATCACTCAAAAAATTATGATTTTGTCATTTGGGAGTTGTAGTTGCTGGGATTTATAGTTCACCTACAATCAAAGAGCATTCTGAACTCCATCAATATGGAATTGAACCAAACTTGGCACACAGAACTCCCATGACCAACAGAATGCACTGGAAGGGTTTGGTGGGCACTGACCTTGAGTTTTGGAGTTGTAGTTCACCTACATCCAGAGAGCACTGTGGACTCAAATAATGATGGATCTGGACCAAACTTGGAACAAGCACTCAATACGCCCAAATATGTACACAGATGGCATTTGGGGAAAAACAGACCTTGACATTTGGGAGTTGTAGGCACTGGGATTCACAGTTCACATACAATCAAAGAGCATTCTGACCCCCACAAACGACAGAATCGGGGCAAACGTCCCACACAGAACCCCCATGACCAACAGAAAATACTTAAGGCCATCCAATCCAACTCTCTTCATCAAGGCAAGAAAACATAATCAAAGTCCTCCTGACAAAGAGCCATCCAGCCATCAATATAGATAGATAGATAGATAGATAGATAGATAGATAGATAGATATGATTCACACACACACACACACAGATATAGTATAGATTTGAAAATGACCCTTAAAGAAGGACAATTATATGTTGCATGTTCTGGGGTGGGCAAACCAGACACTCTCCACATCAACACTGACAAAGAAACAGCAAGAAATACTGTTTACCCACAAGCAGAAAGAAATTACATAGATTAGAAACCAACACTTTCTCATTCCTTTATTTTCCATATCAACAGACTGGGCCACAGCAACACGTGGCAGGGGACAGCTAGTATGAGATAAAATCCTGGGATATAACAATGGTGTAGGAAGAGCCTCAGGGCCCTTTCACACAGCCATATAACCCAGAATATCAAGGCAGAAAATCCCATAATATATTCTGCTTTGAACTGGGTTATCTGAGTCATATATTCCAGTTCAAAGCAGAAAATGTGGGATTTTTTTTTCCGCTGTGTGGAAGAGGCCTGTCTTTATTATCCACAGATTCTATATCCTCACACTCATTCACTGCTTGAAAATATTTTTTTAAATCCAAAAAAAAAAGAAAAAACCCTTGATTTTGCCATTTCATATAAGGGAGAAAATTTAACTAAACCATTTTTTTTTTGTGTCTGCAGCAACTTGAGAAACGGCAAGTTGCTTCTGGTGTGAGAGAATTGGCCGTCTGCAAAAACGTTGCCCAGGGGACGCCCTGATGTTTTGTATACATTGGGTTTTGAGTATCTGTGGATTTTGTTATCCACAGATGTCCTAAAACCAAACTTCACCTGATATCAAGTCACCACGATAATACAAACACAGAGTAACTTTTACTATATGCACCATGCTTCCTAGAGGTAAATCCACCTCAATGCAGTCCTCGCAAAACTATCCCCAGCAAAAAATTCCCATTGAGAAATGAACCATCCCACTTCCAGGAGCCTCCAGGGGGTGTGATTGCACTGCATCTGAAGAAGTGGGATCACATTCGTGGAAGCTCATGCGAAAATTAGAAAAACAAACAGTCCCAATGCTGCTGGCTTGTGTATGCCTGAAAGAGACTAACACAGCCTATGATGGTGAAAATACAATCTAAAATGCATCTGCACTATAGAATTAATGCAGTTTGACACCACTTGAACTGCAATGGCACAATGCTATGGAACCCTGGTAGTTGTAGTTTGGTTAGGCACCAGCTATCTCTGGCAGAGAAGGCTCAAACCCTTGTAAAAAAAACTCCCAGGATTCCATAACATTCAAAGATGAATGCTTAAAGTGGTGTCAAACTGAAATAATTTTACAGTGTAGATTCAGGCTGCACCGTCCACAAGTAGAATGAATGCAGTTTGACATTACTTTAATTGCTATGGGTCAATGCCATGGAATGCTGAGAGATGTAGTTTTACAAGGCCTTTAGAATTCTGTGCCAAATAGTGCTGGTGCCTTGCCAAAACTACAAATCCCAAGAATCATATAATTGAACCCAAGATCACAAAGGCTGTCAAGTCATGTATAAAGTCCATTGGACAGGTGATGCTTGCTTAGGGAAAACATCTTTGAGTCAAACATCCAAGGAAATGCAAAACCCTCACCTCTTTACCCCAAGTTCTAAAAATAACTTGATTAAAAATATAAATAAAGAAGCGATTTGTTGTGCCACGTTAGTACGTTAGGTTTTATTCCTGACAGGTTTCCCCTCCAGGGTTGTCGTTTCAAGATGTTCCAGACAAAAAAGCACACAAGCGCTCTCTTCTTTTGCATCAATCCTCATTTCGCCAGACATTGCAAACAAGGCAGGCTTTCATTTCGAGGGCTGGAGGCACACAACAGGAGTTCTTGGAATCCCAAATAGAGGCGCCGCTAATTACCTCCTTGGTGGTGAAAAGCCTGAATTGTGGCGCTGTGTCCGGCTGCCAGAGCGGAGGGTGCAGCTGAACCGGGCACAAGGGGCGGGCGGGCGGCAGGACAGGCCTCCACTGTCTTCGGTGTACTTTCCCAGAGGCCAGGCAGTGCAGCTGCCGGCAAGCGCGGTGCAGCTGGGCCAAGTTCTCCAGTGTCAACATCGCCCTGCCACTCATGGCTTCCCTGCAAAAAAGGGCAAATGTTGCTTCAATGAGTCACTTTGCAAAATAATAATAATAATAATAATAATAATAATAATAATAATCTTTATTTACACCCCGCCACCATCTCCCCAAAGGGGACTCTGAGCAGCTTACATGAGGCCAAACCCAGCAATAAAATATAAACAACAAAATAGCATCACAATAAAATAAATAAATAAACCAATCAAGTAAAATAAACATAAAATAAAGATGGGCAGACCCATTGCAGAGAGGAATAAGAAATGCACCGGGATTGTGGCGCAGCTGGCTGAGTGTCAGCTGCATTAAGATCACTCTGACCAAAAGGTCATGAGTTCGAAGCCAGCCCGGGTTGGAGTGGGTTTCCAACCAATTGTGTGTAGCCTGTTGTCGACCTTTGCAACCCAAAAGACAGTTGCATCTGTCAAGTAGGAAAATTAGGTACCACCTTAAAAGTGTGGGGAGGTTAAATTAACTGATTTATGAGGCCATAAAGAAGACTCCAGCAAAGCATTCCAGAGGGGAAGCATGCGGGGAATGCAGAAGTGCTTCATCAGCGTCGCAGATGGACGATGAAAGTGACAGCTCCCCTGGCGGCCAGGAAAAGTTAAATAGCCTCTGTGTATGTCTGTATATGTTTGTATGTCAAAATTTGGCATTGAATGTTTGCCATATATGTGTACATTGTAATCCGCCCTGAGTCCCCTGTGGGGTGAGAAGGGCGGAATATAAAAGCTGTAAATAAATAAATAAATTGTATCCCCAGGGTCATTCAGTCCAACCCCCTGCCATTCAGGAACACACAATCAAAGCACACAATCATTCTTAGAATCATAGAATCATAGAGTTGGAAGAGACCTCATGGGCCATCTAGTCCAACCCCGTCAAAAAGCAGGAAAATGGCATTCAAAGCACTCCCGACAGATGGCCATCCAGCCTCTGCTTAAAAGCCTCCACCACACTCCGGGGCAGAGAGTTCCACTGCTGAACAGTTCTCAGAGTCAGGAAGTTCTTACTAATGTTCAGGTGGAATCTCTTTTTCTGTACTTTGAGTCATAGAAACATAGATTTGGAAGAGACCCCGTGAGCCACCCAGTCCAACCCCCTGTCAAAAAGCAGGAAAATGGCATTCAAAGCATTCCCGACAGTTGGCCATCCAGCCTTTGTTTAAAAGCTTTCAAAGAAGGAGCCTCCACCACACTCCGGGGCAGAGAGTTCCACTGCTGAACTGCTCTCACAGTCAGGAAGTTCTTCCTAATGTTCAGGTGGAATCTCCTTTCCTGTACTTTGAATCAAAGACTCATAGGGCTTGTTCTCCAGACCCTTGATCATTTTAGTCGCCCTCCTCTGGACACATTCCAGCTTGTCAACATCTCTTTTCAATTGTGGTGCCCAGAATTGGACACAATATTCCAGGTGTGGTCTAACCAAAGCAGAATAGAGGGGTAACATGACTTTCCTGGATTTCCCTGGATCTAGACATTATTCCGGGTCCTAACCATTGTTCCACGTCCTAGTCTCCAGGGCAGCAGAAAACAAGCTTGCTCCCTCCTCCCTATGACTTCCCCCCACGAGGTCTCTTCCAACTCTATGATTCTATGGGTGCATTTATGGACCCTTCCACACAGCTGTATAAAATCCACATCGAACTGGATTATATGGCAGTGTAGACTAAGATAACCCAGTTCGAAGCAGATATTGTGGATCATCTTCCTGGATTATATGATTGTGTGGAAAAACCCTACAGTGCAAAACAAAACAAAACAAAAAACAATTGGGATCTGCAGTTTAGGGAGGAGTACTTAGAATTTTTAGCATGACTGTTAAGTGTGTCTTCAACTTGTTTTTACCCTATGGCAACCCTAAAATGAATTTATAACAGTGTTGTGGCAGGAATTTTGCAGAGGTGCTTCACTGCTGGCTTTCTCTGAGGCTAAGAGAGTGTGACTTACCCATGGTCACTTATCAGTGGGCTTTTCCATGGCCAATTGAGGATTTGAACCCAACACTCCCAACGCTACCCCATGCTGGATCTCGACATCAAACTACATATCCCTGGGTTCTCTAGGATGCTGCCATGATAGTTATAGCAGAATCCTACGGTGCATCTACAGTGTAGAATGAATGCGGTTTGACACCACTTTAACTTCCATGGTTCAGTGCTATGGAATCATGGAAACTGTAGCTTTATAACACACATGGGCAAACTTTGGCCCTCCAGGTGTTTTGGACTTCAACTCCCACAATTCCTAACTGCCTACCGGCTGTTAGGAATTGTGGGAGTTGAAATCCAAAACACCACACCTGGAGGGCTGAAGTTTGCCCATGCCTGCTTTATAAGGTCTTTATCTGCTTCATAAAGTCTTTTGGCGCCTCTCCAAACGACAAATCCCAGGTTCCAGTAACACTGAGCCATGGCAGTTAAAGTGACATCAAACTGCATTAAACATACAGCGTAGATGCACCTCCAGAGAACATTCATATAAATGTAGGCACTCTTTAGTTATGGATTCTGGTGCACAAGGCAACATTTTCCAGTAGGACTGTCAGAAAACGTGATCATTTTTCCTAAGAGCCTTCCACAGCAAGCAACCTTGTGGTACCTTAAAGACTGATTTATTATGGCATGTTCTTTTGTAGGGGAGCCAACATGATGTAATAGTTTTGAGGAATCTGGCAAGCCAGGTTTAAATCTCTGCTTGGCCGTGGAAACACACTGGGTAAGTCACATTCTCCCAGTCTCTGAGGCAGGCAATGGCAAACCTTCTCTGAAGAAAGCCTGCCAAGGAAACCGCACAATAGGTTTGCCTTAGGGTTGCTGTAATCTAAACATGAGAAGAAAATATTATATTGTGGATTTGAATCCATTTTCTCAGATGCATGGATTGTTATTCTTAGTTGTGCTTATACATATATCCACCATCGAAATGTATTGCTTCAGTAAGAGGAAACGCACAACAGTATACTTAGGCAGAAATAATGAAATATAGGATGAGTGACACCTGGCTTGCAACAATACATATTTATTTACAACATCTCACCCCAAAGGAGACTCAGAATGGCTTACAAATTATATGTACATACAATATACTATATTATTAGCATAGCACAATATTAGTATTACATATTACTATATGGTACTATACCACTATACGGCACCACTCTATTCCGCTTCGGTCAGACCTCACTTGGAATACTATGTCCAGTTCTCGGCGCCACAATTCAAGACGGATATGAACGAGATAGATGTGTCAAATGTTTTGAATGGAGGCTGGATGGCCATTTGACGGGAGTGCTTTGATTGTGTTTTTCTGAATGGCAGAGGGAGGTTGGACTGGATGACCATTGGGGGTCCCTTCCAATTCTATGATTCTACGATTTAACAGCAAGTTCGGATGGTAGTTATATGGCTTTTTTTAATCACTGTTAAAAGTAAAATTCCTTACATGTGCATTTGATGGAATGTGTCTCCTTGTGGAGAGAA